CTGTGGTCCCTTAAACAATGCATTTGTCAAATTTCAACAGTGTCAAATGTGAGCAAGTTCAGAGGGCAGCTTCTAAATTGATGAGTCTAGAACAGGGGTGTCAAACTACTGGCCTGCGGGCCGGATGCGTCATGCCAAAACCGCACCCACCCCATTGCCGGCAATGGAAAAAAAGTTGTGATACGGTGCGATATGTCCCGTGATGTTGCGAGTTTGACATCCCTGGTCTAGAAAGAAAGCCCTGTGAGAGAAATAGGCTAAATAATCCCCCATCCTTTATCAGTTCCTCATAGGGCTTTCTTTTCAGATTTAAAAAGCATGTATACATGTGTGTGCATGCACACACACAGACACACATCCTTGTTAATAGGGCTGCCTTTTCTGCTGTTAATTAGGCTCTCTCACAGCCACACACAACACACATTTTAATAAACTTTCTCAAGATCAGCCATGGTCAGTGAAGTTCTGCCACCTGCTGTTACAGAGCTGTGACATTTGGTGCATCAGCTCAACACCTATAAGTGAAGCTTTTTTAAAAAAACAAAAACAAAAAACACCTCACGTGCATCTTACAAAAAAGGGAAGGTAAAAGGAGAGTAATTGGAAATACATTTTCATACCGCTAGGCTGTGAGAAAGCATTTACCTCAAACAATGACTTTTCTTTCGTTACCTATTTTGTGCTGACGGCACACAAACTAATAATTGAAAAGCTTATGTCTTGAAACCGTGTGGGTCTTTATCGACAATGTTAGCAGCACTTACCCTGGAGCTCTTTGTAGCAAGAAATGGGACTCCTGTTTCATAAAAGCCTACATTTACTACAAACATTACCCAGCAATCAGGAAAGGAGGAGGGGAATGCATTAGGGAGTACAATAAGTCTTTATTTAAATATAGCTATTAAGACACAATGTTTGTAAAAGTTCCAAAATATTTGTGCCATTCAAAATTCAAGTAACACAAAAGTTCCATTTGGTTAGTAGATGTGGTTAATAGCAATTTCAGAATGAATTCAGTAGTCCAAGTTCCTCTTGAATCCCAAATTAAACCCCAAATTTCTGCCAAGCAAATTATTGTTCCTCAGCCTTTTGCCCTTTTTCTAACTTGAGATAATCATTCTAGAATTTGTCTGATTTCCAGAGAAGTCAAACAAATTAATCATTATATTAAGTGGGTAAGGAATCTTTTTTTTTCTTCCACAACCCACATTTTCCTAGAATGAGTAAGATTGAAACAAGCAAGAGGTAGAGCTAGAAGTAAAATAGGGTGCAAATAATCTTCCTTTCTCTCTGTCATATTTTATTTTCCCTGTTTCATTGCTTCCTTGTTTGAAAATTTTGCATAAAACGTCACGGCCAGTTATCATTTTCATTAACAATGCATTTTTATGTATTTACAACCCAATCCTGCCTGTTGTAGGAAGTTCTGGGGCACAAAAGATATTATCACTTTGCACAAGGTACAGTTCAAATCTGCTGGACTTGAATGAACTCAGAAGTATCCTAGAAAATGGTCAGTGAACCCCCAATGCTGCACATTGCAGAAGACTGAAATCAGCATTGAACAAGTTGTTTTAGATGAGCGTTCTACTTTAGTAAACAAGCAGTTAAAATATCATTTGAAAAGTACTGACTTTTATATGACCTTCATAGGTTTTTTGAGTGTGAAAACCAAAAATGAGCAATTCTTTTTTCAACATCGATATGCTTTGATGGTACTGATTGCAGAGAGATTTTTTATTACCGTGCTATCACTTCTAGGTAGTTGTTTTTCTGATCATTTCTATAATCTTTCTAGATTTATTAAAGTTTTTTAAAAATGTAATTTCCATCGTAAAGTATTTCAGGTTCAGTGGGTAAGTAATTTCCCTTTTTCAATCTTGAGCAAATTTTGTTTAGTGCTACACCTTCATTTCTGCCACATTTGTGGGGCTATAATTGCTAACTATAGTTCTGGTGTCATTCTGCCTTTCAACATAAATCTTAGGTTTTTTTGACAGAAAATACAGGTCGTCTTCATTTAGCAACTGCCTCATCTAGCAACTGTTTGCATTACAACAAAGATGAAAATGTAACTTTGCAACGAATTGTTACATTTACAAGCTTCACAGGTCTGTAAAGCAAAGGAAAGCTGAAGTAAGATTATAAATAGAATTGTGGTTTCACTTAGTGATCATTTCCTTAAGGACCAGGTTGCTGGTCTCAGGAGTATCTGTAGATTATTTGAAGGTCTGTTGCAGATTTATATTTCTAATTCTAGAAATGTTTAAAAACTGGAACAACCGTGACAAAAATAGTTTTATCTCTTATCCATGGTGGTGCAGTGGTTAGAATGCATTATTTGCAGGCTAATTCTGCCAACTGCCAGCAGTTTGATCTTGATCAGCTCAAGGTTGACTCAGCCTTCCATCTTTCCGAGATTGGTAAAATGAGGACCCAAATTGTTGGGGGCAATGTGCTGATTCTATAAACTGCTTAAGAGAGGGCTGTAAAGCACTTTGAGATGGTATATAAGCCTAAGTGCTATTGCTATTAAATAGGTCCATAAGTAAATATTTAGCTGAATGAAGAAATGGGCTCGTGAAGACACCAGATAGAACTCAGTTCTGGGCATTCCCAACTTACCTAGAATCTCTGAACAGGCCTACTGAAGTTTCTAGTTCAAAGAGAAAAATAAGAGGGCATGTCTGTGAGAGGTTACTGAGGCATGAAATCTGAATCCAGCTGTGTTAACAGCTGTAAATATCAAAGGTTTCTTTGCATGAAAATAAAGCACAGGAAATTAAAATGGGAAATGAATGTCAGAAGGAGATACTGAAAAATTCCAATAAATCATTGATATTAACATTTAAAGTTTAATATAAACCTTTGATCAAATAACTGTAGCTTGTTTTAAAAATTCAAAGAGAACAGTTTTCTGATCTATGACCATATTATATTATTAACAAAGGAGAATTAAAAACTAGTATACCAGCTGCTCAGTGAAGAATGTAAACAAAAAAATGCAGTTACTTAGCTCCTAGTTTGGTCCAATTTTGTTCCATAGCAAAATGTGAAGGGCAGGATGAATGAATTGAAAGAACCATATTAAGGAAAACCTATTTCAGTACCCAGGGCCAGATTAGTTGCATCTTAGAGTATTGAAGGAATTAGCTAATAGTCTTGATGAAACCTTGTGTATTAGATTTTGAGGCACTCTGGAGATCTGAACTGCCTCATGAATGAAAGGGGGCAAATATTTCTATCTTCAAAAATTGAGAAAAAAATCCAAGAAACTAGCAGTCAGCATCATAGCAATACCTATGAAAATTCTATAGCGGCTTTAAAAAGATTGATCTGTAAATATCTTGAAATTTTTTTACAATTGCTGGATATTGGAATGCATTTGTCAAGAACAAATCTGGCCAGACTAATTTTATGTCATTATGTCATAAAAATAGTTCTGCTGCAGTAACGTCCTACATAGATTATGGGATTACTGTAGACAAGCTGTACCTTAACTGAAGAAAGGCATTTGACAAAGAACTCCATAACATATTGATTAAAAAGCTATTAGGTATGTGGGCTGGATGGCATGATCATTAGGTGGATTTATAATTGGCTTGAAAATCATACTCATCAGGTTCTTGTCAGTGGTTCCTCATCAGATTGGAGACAATGCTGCTTGGTTCAGTCTTCTATTTTTCAGTGTTTTAATTAATGATTTGGGTGGAGTGGTGGAGGAATGCTTATCGGTTTGCAGACGATAGAAAATTGGATGTGACAGCTAATATACCAGAAGACAGAAATGAAATTCAAATCAAACATACAGAGTGAAAATTGAAAGTGACAGATGCAAAGTTCTTCGATAATAAAAATCAAAGGTACAGCTATAGAATACTTGATTTGCTAACGGTACATTGGAAAAAGATATTACAGCAGTGAGTGATTGCAAACTAAATATAAACCAACTGATGTATTGAAAGATGACAAACACACTTTTTATATCACATCAATAGAAGTATAATTTCTACATGATAAGTAGTAACCATTCTGCTTGGTCAAAACCCCATCTTGAGTGTTGTGTTCAGTTCTGGACACATGGTTGAGGACAGGTTGAGGAAAACTGAAAAGATTCAGAAAATAATGATCGTGGAGCTAGAAATGAATTCCTAAGAAGAGACATTGGAGAAACAGGACCTTGAGAAAAGATAACTGATAGTGTTCTTCAAATACTTGAAGAATACTTGAGCAATCCCTGTTTTCTTTAGAGTGCAAGATTCAGAATAATAGACTTAAGTAACAGGAAGGCAGAATCCAATAGGGAAAAAAAATCACCAAGAACCCCTTGAAAGTAGTTGATCCCCATTAATGTCTTCAAGTGGAGGCAAGAGCAGCAGTGTGTTAAGAATGCTTTGATTTATATTCCTGCACGGAGCAGGATGTGGACTCAGTGGACCTTCCAGCTCTGTGGTTCTACAATTCCCTTTTCTTATTTTAAATATGTTATTATGATAAAAAAAACTTCAAACCCTTGACATCTGTCTAAGATGTAAAAAAAATCATTGCAGTAGATTAAAAATAGTTCTGCTGCCTGATCATACTTTTGTAAAAGTCACAATAATGTTTGCTTTACTACTGACTTGCCAAATATATTTAAGTTTCAGACACAAAGTGATTTAGCATTAACATGCCTGAAGCAAATTTGAGCTGACAGTTTGCTTTCACACATCGCAGTAATAGCAAAATTAAGTGTGAGAGTGATCTCAGAATAAGGCAACCCTTGTGTATCACTATAAAGCCATGTTGGAGATAGGATTTCTGCTTTCTCCAAGAAATAATCTGCACCATAATTTTATGCAATTAATGTTACATGTGTAAAATTATATGGTTCAGTTGTAGCAAATTTAGAAATAAATTAAAGTGTTCTCTCTTTTCAGTGGATTCTTCCCCCCCCCCATGAAACAGATATTTCTCATTCTCTGATTTACCTCTAAGTACTTCTATTTTTTTAATCCTAGAAATTGTGAAGAAGATATTTCAAGAAAAAGGTATCATCATAGATGACAAAGTTTTAAAGCCTCACTTGACCTTCATGAAGTTGTCAAAATCCCCAAAACTACAAAAGCAGGTGAAGTTATCACAATTGGGTTGAGGGGCAGTTTGCATTGTAAAGATTTAGATTCTCCACAAATTATTGTTACATGATTTTACATTTTAACCGAGTAGCTATAGCTGAGTGACAGGTAAACTAGTATTACCGTAAGTCTGTTATAAGGAAATCCTATAGATATTATTTCACAGTTGAAATCTAATCCTACAGACAGCATAATTATTTAAAAAACAATTATATACAAAAACTATTAACTTCAGCTTGTACAGCTCTTAAATAAAGAAAAGAAAGATTAATTTAAGGGAGAGGGCATTTTTATAAATTATATTTTCCTTTGCAATTTTCATGCTTTTTTACTAGTAATTTCCAACTCATAGGTTTTTTTTTTAAGACTATAAGGAAATACTGGGTCCAAGCACTTATCTGTAATAAATATAATACTTCTTTATTAAATGAAAGTAAGACCTCTGCCTTGATGTCATTATTAATTGGAATCCATTTTATAATGGAGAATCTGGGAAACAGAAAATGTAAATTGTCCTGATTTATAAGACATTAGAATGATATATACACATACTGACATAAATGTAGTTTTTATTTGTATTAATTTTAATTTGACTTAAAAGCAAACAATATTGGTAGTATAACCTTTTGCCTGTCCACTTAGAAGTGAACCTCACATTTATTCCCAAAGTAAATGTACATAGTCCTGAAGCCCTTGAGTAATAATGAAAATAATACAACTTTTAAGTTTAGCCATTGTGAAGATGCTTGCAGATAAGATTAAGAAAAATATATTTTAAAAAAGCATGAAAGCAGAATTAAGACATTTGTATTTTTAGAAATATATTTATTATTTTTCCAAGATTATGAATAAGATAGTTGAAAATTTTAGAGTAATTTGAACTCAGAAAAAAATACAGTAAGAACAATAAGATTATTAGCAAATGTGTTTGTTATCATATTAATGATTTGAGCTTCCTTTTTCTTCTGAATACTTCTAGTTTTACTGTATTCTTATCACATTTTCTTTTTTCACTATGTATCAAGAAATTTAATAAAGAGATACAGCTCCATTTTACAGGATGATAGTTATCTCATTACTAGCAAGTGTTCAAAATGAGTAATGAAACCAGTTTAGTAATTATAACAAGTATGATTTTGTGTTCTCATCTAAACAGGATGGGTATCTCACTCCTGATCTAATGTCAGCCATAATGAAAGATTTAAGAATAGTATGGGTTTAAATGTATATGGAAGCCATAGGTTCCTACTGTGAATGCAAAAGCAAACTAAGAAGAGAGAGGAAGAGAGAAATATAATCTTCTAGTCTTGATCATATACTGCCATCTATGGTTGTGCCTGAACTAATTCAATTTTTCATGTATTATAACTGTATTTTAGTAACCAGTAAAAAAGGTATTTTTTTCAGTATGCAAAATATCTGAATGTTCTGAATTAAAGAGTTCTATTGTAAAGTTAAAGAAACTGGGACATTTAAAAATAATATCAACATGAAGCTTTGTAGATTTTATTTTTTAGAATACCAGCATACAAAAACATTTAAGATAGACAACAAAGCAAAGAAAAATCTACTGTTAAAAAAGGGATATTAATACAGATTTCTTTGCTTTTAAATGTTTTTGCACTGTAGATTTTCTGGATTATTTTTATGTTATCGACATATCTAATGCACACAACACAAATTTAGAAATTATTTATCAGTGGGAAAAAAAGTTAGTAAATAACCTGAACATACTCCACTTGTGTGTCTAAATATCATGTTATTGACAATTTTGTTTACAAAAAACAGGGAAATCTATAAATAACCTTCTAAATTTAATTTCAGTTATAATTTATTCACAAATACACATTAATAGTTCATCAAATATAACAATAGCTACATGGTGGTTTGCAGGATCAGGATCATAGTTTTGTCATCTCCCATATATGACAGAATGGGATACGCTGGTTGGATGTGACAAGCAACAGGTAAAACATATTTAACACCTGATGGGTGAAACTCACTTTGCTAGATTATTAATTTTTCAGGCTTTTTGTCTGAAGCAATGTGGCATTTCTTTCTGATGTATTTCCTACTTTGTAACAATTCAGTATACACTAAACTATATAGTTCAGTCATATATTATTTGTATTGCAGTTATTTATATGCTCTCTATTCAAATCACTCTACGTTAATAGGTTACAGTATGGAAGCTGAAGAAGGTAGTACCTCTTGAATCAAAAACTCCTTTAAATCCACTTGGGAATTATCAAGATCTAGGGAGAGGAATTTATCCACCAGAGATTTGCAATTTTGCATCTGTTTCTCTTTTGAGGAATGGTCAGTACGTTGGATAGGTTTCCCATTGCGAAACAGTTCTGATACTTCAACTCCTCTGTCAATAATTTTGGAGGGCAGGCCAGCCAGAGCTGCAATATTGGCTGCATGGCTGACAGTGGACATGCCTTCTTTAATCTGATAGAAAAATACAAGCTCATCTCCATCTTGATGGGTATCCATGGTCAGATATTGCACAAGAGGAGTGTGGGGCAAGAGCTTCAGTTGCATCAGGCTATGGAAATTAGTGGCAACAAAAAGGTGCGGGCACTGGCTCACCTGTGCAATCCAATGCCTTAGAACAGCAGCCAAAAGAGAGAGGCCATCCATAGTATTTGTGCCTTTGCCAAACTCATCAATTAATACCAAAGAGTTTTCAGTGGCATTATTCACTGCTTTGGCTATCTGGTTAAGATCAATCATGAAAGTGGACAGTCCAAGAGATACTGATTCTCTGCTGTGGATCCTTGTATAAATTCCATCTATAGGTCCTATTTCAGCTTTAGTGGCAGGGACATAACTGCCAATTAGAGCCATAAATGTAATAAGACCTACTTGTTTTAGATAAACACTTTTACCAGATGAATTAGGCCCAGTAAGGAGCTTAATTCGTCCATATGTTTCACTGCTGTCCACTGAATTAGGCACAAAAGTTTTTGCACATAACTCCATCAGAGGGTGCCTTCCATCTTTTATGTGAATAATATGAGAATGAGAGAAGCTGGGTCTGGTATATCCGTTCTCTCGAGCCATTACTGCCATAGATAATAGTACATCTAAATGTGCTGTATATTCAATCACATCACTAAGTACTGCAGATTTTTCCAGGATTTTAGACTGTAGCTGGTACATGATTAATGTTTCCTGATCTCGTATTTCACAGTGAAGGTCACCAAGCAAACTATCTAGTTCCTTGGTCCTGGCACTGCGGTAATGCAGCTTTTCTTCTGATAAGAACATAAAATCTAGACCTTCAATCTCAAAGTCAGTCTTGCCCACCATTGTGGGCAGCCGTGGAATAGAGAGTAAGAACCCTATTAAAGGGATATAAATAACACTGCAGGATGGAATTCTGTTATCCAGGTCCTCTAGTTCTTTGCGAGCTACCTCTGTAAGGAAGTCTGAAAGCCCCACTAGCTTTCGTTTCTTCTCATCAATTATGGGGTCCACATTTGGTCTGACAATGAAGTGGTTTTCCGAGAGGCTGCTTTCAAAATCTACCACTTTGCTAATTAGGCTGGCTATATAGTGTAGATCATCAGTGAAAACATGAGAAATTGTCTGGAAAAGCTCAATGGTGCTTGGCAGAGAGCGACATTTATCTCTTAGGCACACAGCACTGTAAACAGTTTTGTAAAGTGCCTGCCAGTCACTTACCTTTGTGTTGGAAAGCGCCATCCTCTTAAGAATCAGAGGTACATTTTTTATATTTTTGAGGCATTCCTGTAGGGTTAGAATTGTTTCATGGTTCTGAGCTAACAGAAAGAATTGGATAACATCCAGTCGCTTATTAAGCTCTGTAAAGTTGCTGGTGGGCCTCATGAGCCACAGTCTCATCAGTTTCTCTCCCCACTTACACCTACAGTGGTTCAGAATCCCATATAAGCTCAGTCCTTCTTTCTTCCCAGTGGCCTGCTTATACACAGAAGGATGTACTTCGCTTTTAAAAATCTGCAGTACGCAGTAAGTGTCTTGATCCACATTTACAGTATCTGTCAATACAAACTTTTTAAAGGCCAAGATGGGAACAACAACATGACTGTCTTCTAGTTCAACTCCAGGTCTTCTCCTGTCAAGGAATTTTAGCAGACCTCCTAATGCTCTTAGTACAAGAGGGCTCTCAAAAGGTAAAATGGAGGACAAATAAAGAATTTTGTCTGTTGCTGTCACGTGAGAAGGGACAAAAGGGAATTGCCTAGATAGAATCCTTTGTTTGCTTACTTCCAAACCAAAATCCATATTTGGATAGAGGACAACCTCTACTTTTCCTCCTTCTGGCTTTTCTCCCTCAGTAGTACCTATATTGGTCAGAAATTTGGCAATATTAGAATCTTGTTTGGCACTGCTCAGTATATATTTGGGAGAGATCTCATCTACCACCCTCTGAAGCAGTTTGAGGTCTTCGTTGTCAGGTGTGTCAGGCATGAAATATACAGAGCAGTCTCCAGTGTCATAATAAACAATTCCCAGCTCACCTCCATACCACAAAACACACAAGTAGATTTCAGATGGCCCTTCATCTTCTTCAGTGGCATGCTGAGGTTGGAATGGGCACTGGTTGGAAACAGTAGCAGTAGTACTCATTTTCCTTGGCTTCAAAGAAGTTCACGCATCTATGTAGTTGGATATACAATATTGTATTAGTGGCCTTTATGGAACATGTATGCAAAATGAGGATTATATAATCTTTTTAAGCTATAAGCCATATATCAAAGAGTAAAAGGGCCCAGGGTAAAAGAGTGAATGGACCAGGACAAAGTCTAATTAATACAATATGATTAACTGATACACATGGACATTCTGAGGGCCCCATCGACCCTTAAGCTTAATTTATTCCCTGAATCTGGGTTTAAGTTAAATGCAGCATACACCAGGTCAACAATCTTTCTATATACATTTTAAAGGAAATTATAGTAATATTGTTAGATAAGGAACGAATAAAATAGAGCCCAGTTTT